CCTGAAAAGGCTGAGGCTTTAAACCAGTTTCCCCTACCTTCGTGCCCCATAGCTTTACTGACTACATAGGCTATCACCCTCAGCTGGTACATGGGAAAATGGAACTGTAGTCCATGGTTATGGAAGTCACTGGGATGGGAAAGTCTGTTTCAAAAGAGATTGGTATTTCATGCAAAAAAATAAAAACAAGGTGTGTTTTTTCCCTCCAGGACCCAAAGCAAAATCCTTGTATTTTTCTTAAATAACCGCACTAAAATACTTAGCTCACACATACAACATACAATTCTCAATTTTTGAAAATTAACCACCTTTCTCTGCCCTGATTAAAGACACGGACTGTCACTGTCAGGAGATATTGGGGGGGGAGTGTGCCCCTCATTGGGTAACTGACACACCTTAGATATTGAATCCGCTTGGACGGGAATTTATTTCAGTGAAATCTAACACACATGCACACTCCACACACAAGGTACAACGACTTCTTTTTGCTACTCTGAATTCAGCCTTATTAACGCTAGATGGAAATGAGTGAATTATTTTAAAATCAAATACAAGCGCTAGTCAAATGTAGCTTTCCACCCAATTTACAGAGACGACACATTCAAAAATGGGCAACCGCAAATATTATGCAATGCCACAGAACACCACAATGTATCAACAATAAACCAGGGAATATACCTTTGGAAACGAACTCGCTCAGGAGATCTTAAGCAACTCACAATTTTCAGCCCCACATCTGCAATACAGAACTTAATTGCATCGGCCTGCCTTCATCAGAGTAATGACTATGAGGCTGCTGAGCTCTCGAGCTGCTCCGGGTAAATTGCAAGGATTATTATTGTTGTTGTTGGCAAGGTTACTGTTATTCTTATTTGCGTCATACGTTACTTCTTGGGAAACAGTTCCAAGGCACAAAACAAGAGCACAATTTCAAAAAGGTATCTGTTTGGGTAAAACGTGGCTTTTGACCAAAATACACCCCAGAAAGGGGTAGTAGCCAGCTGTGTGTTTTGCAAATAAAGAACCACCATTTATTTACACACAAACGCCCTTAATAAAGCCCATGTATTTTTAGTGTCGGGAAGCAGTTTCTGAAGGCAAAATGCAGTTTACAAAGTGGGCCTGCAAAGCTTTTAAGAGAATTACTCCAAGCCCTGCTGGGCTGTAAGGTATTGAAAGCCACGCCATTCCCGGACAAAAACACTCCCACAAACAAACACGACCTTTTTATTCAAGACAGGCGTCCCTTTCACTTCTTTCTCATCTTACAGAGGCAGCAAGACACATTTTGCCAAACCCCCAACCCCCACCCCGGGTGTGACTGAAGTTTCTTAGAAGCCTCCTAAGAACGAACGGCTTGCGAACTAAGCAATGAAGGGGCAGAGGAAGCATTTTTCGCCCGTATGGGACAAAAGCAACATTCAAATATTGAACTTATATTCTGTTCTCTGCTCATTAAACCATTACAAATGGACCCAAAGAGGAGCGCATCTCATTTAAATGGGGAGCTTTCCATTCTCCCTAGATTTCTTCGCCACAGTTAAAAATTCATATTTTTAGGGCCACAGATTTATGAGAGACCCCCCCCCCATTACTGCATTCTACACTTACCCCACTCGGTCTTGAGAGAAAGGGTAGCCCTCTAGGATTTGTGGGGGCGGGAGGCATTTGAGGAAGCAGGCACTCAAAATGGACCCACACACCCCTCAAAGAAGGAGGCCCACAAACATTTCACACTACTTACACCCTTTGGTGAGCATTGAAAACCTCTTGGGTAACAGGGGCATTTGCCATTTTTATTGGGCGGGGGGGGAGTTTCTTCACAAATGCCCAGCTTTGATGAGGAACCCCTGACACCAGGCCCGCATCCTGCTTAGGGCTGGTTACAAAAAACAGACGCTGCTCTGCCTGCAAAATCCTCTGACATGAAGCTATGGGGAGAGGAGGGGAGTGTGTTGGTTGGCAACTCTCATTCACATGGGAGTGGGTTTGGAGAATCCCCTGTCATGCTGACAAAGAACTCTGTGTGTTTTAGACCACCCCAAAAAAAGCAACTGATCCAAGTTCTGCTCTCACTGCTTCCCAGAGGCTGCAAAGACTTCTGTCCATGCCCAAGAAGCTACGGAATGGAGGAACCAAAAAGAGCAGTTGACTAACAACGTCAACCACTCTGCATATATCCCTGGAAAGGTTTGCCTCTCTTAGGCTGATGTATGTACAGTGGTGCCTCGCTTAACGGGCGCTCCATTTAGCGATGAAATCACTTAGCGATGATTTTTTGGAGCGTTTTTGCGCTTCATTTAGCGATGGTCCCTATGGGAGATTTTCGCTTAGCGATGTTTGGGACCATGCTTCGCATAGCAATTAAATTTTGGGTCCCCTGTTTCGCTTAACGATGGTTTACACAGCCTCATGTTTGCTGTTTTTAAAATGTTTTTCTGTTATTTATAAAGTTAAAGTTTACTGTTTAAAATGTTTGAAATCATAAAGCGCACTTAAAAAACCTTTGTTAACCAAATTTGACTTTGTTCTGACTCTTTTTTAATTTGTTGTATTTCTCCCCCATTGAGATGCATTGAATAGGTTTCAGTGCATTTCAATTGGGGAACCACGTTTCGCTTAGCGATGTTTCCTATGGCGATTTTCGCTTAAGGACGGCAATTCATTTCTATCGGAACGGATTATCCGGTTTTAATGCATTTCAATGGGAAACCGCATTTCGCTTAGTGATGAAATAGCTTAGCAGCGATTTGTTCGGAACGAATTAACATTGCTAAGCGAGGCGCCACTGTATTTTAATTTTTTAAAAGCAGGATTCCTTTTTTAGCATTATCTTTATCTTCCTTTACTTTCACTCCTTTCCAAAAGCATTTCTTGCTCCTCTTCACATTGTTTTACCACGTCATAACATCCTCCCTTACCAACCAGGTGAGAAAGAAAAGAAAGCTAAGTAGCCGTATATTCCAAAAACAAAGAAACCCAAATAAACACTATAAAGATACTGTCAAAGAGCCTCAATTATAACAGTAATTCTCTCATCACAGCATCAGCATCATCTTAGAACTGCAGAGCTGGAAGAAACCCTCTGGATCATGGAGTCCAGCCCCTATCAAAGAGGCCCAGTGGGGAATCGAACTCCCAACCTCTGGCTCCACAGCCAGATGCCTAAACCCCTGAGCTATAAGTACTGTACCATTCACAGTCAATATCTATACAGCATTTTCCCTTGGTGCTCAAAAAAACTTCACAAAGGTTGTTCGATTTATTTATTTATTTATTGCATTTACAAGTGAACTGACAATCAAAGTCAAGCACTTCCATTAACAAACAGCTCTTCCTATTATTATGCCATGCCCTCTATGGAACTATCCCACTTCTACACCACACAGGTGTGCTTTCCACAACAGAACCTACTAAAAGATTGGAGGGGGGGCAACAGGAGAAGGCATGGGCAAGATTGTAAGAAGGTTAGTCGCCCCATATTCCAGAAACAAGAGGAAGGAGAGACGGTGCTCGGGGTGAGGTTTATCTGAAGCCTCCCAGTGAGACAAAAGCTGAGTGAAAAGAAAATGAGGGAATAAGCTCAGAGGATAAGTTCAGAGATTACCTCAGATATCGAACTCCATGCCCCTTTAAAATGCTATTCTGCCTGGCTGATTTTTTTTAAAAGCCCAGATCAAGAATGTTTAAATACACCTCACACTGGTCTTGGACTCCAGTTCTCATCATCCCTCACCATTAGAGATAATGGCTAGAGTCAACAAAATGGCCAACCCTAGAATATATGGAAGACCTCATGATCTCCATCACCACTTTTAAAGGAGCCAAACCGTGAATCTGGAGGCAACTACATGACAGCAAGAACACAAATATCGAAGTGGAGGTGAGGTGAACCTTTTGCAAGTAAGCCACTGCACGAACCTCACAATGGCGTTGACCTGCAGTGCAGAAGTTAATTCTTTTGTCACCATCAGTCCTTCATCTACAAAACAATTTTTCAGACCAGGTACAAAAAGCAATAACAACCGCACTTTGTGACGATCCGTTTTGCTTTTCTCACACTCCAATTAAACAGCAACCCTTCGTAGAAACAATGCAACGTTCCCACATGTGAGCTACGATACCAATATCACAGTCACTGTAAGCTGCAGTGTCTAACAAACAGAAAACACACACACACACCAGCCAGGTAACAAACTGATGAAGAGCAAGAGCTGACAGCTGAGAGTAACTTCATTTCTCAATTGCAACACTAAATATGCACCACAAATATCGCTTAACCCACATATACACTACAATGCACAAATTTGCAACAAGTAGGAGGTGGATTTAAAAAAAAAACACGAACTGCCATTTATATAACTCTCTGGTTAAAAAAATATTTAAACCATTTATTTATTCTCCAGTGCTAAAGACAAGAAAAAACAAATTGGCTTTTACAGCATCTTATAGAGCAGCAGGGTACCCAGAAACCAAACTCCAAACAGAACACTTCCAACTTTCTTTTTTTTTAAAAAAAGGAAAAGCAGGCAAAAAAAACACCAAAAGCAAAAAGCCAACATTGTAGGAACAAAGGTAGGGAAGGAATCTGCTTCTGTTTTCAACTCGGTTAACATGCACAACCTGTAAGCTTCAGCAGTCCTGAGTTAATAAGTCACATCCATAATAACTATTTAGCTTACACAAACATAACGCAGGAAAACACTTGTCAACAAGAGCTGCTATTTCCAGCAAATGTGACACCTTCCCCACGCAGCTGGCAATCAAAGCTTCACGCGACATTCTGTCCAGCATCTCCACTGCGCTTGTTCCGTTCATCTCAGACCATTCCTGCTCCCTCCTAAATCCACTTACAAACATTACAGCGCAGCGCATCTGTTATGCTCAGCAATCCTCCGCTCCCTCTTAACTTCCCCCCTCCCCTTCCCTCCCCTCCTCACCCTACCCCACCCCTTGCCATCCCCACATTTCACAAGCATGGTGTGTTTCATCACCCCTACCTGCAGTTGGGAGGTGGATCCAGGGTTATTTCAGCCAGCTCCTTCTGAATTCTGCGGGCAAAATGAGAACAGACACAAAGCGTTTGAGATAGTCGGCGGAATAAATCAGGGAATTACACTGCCCTCTACCACCATGCAGTTAAATGCAAGATTGGTTTTGCCTTCAGTAATGCTAACATGGCTGCTTCGTCTTTGTTCTCAGAGGCATAACCCAAATCCCCGAACAGAGAAAGTTTGCAGCTTTTTTCCTTAGCTGTTACGGTAAATTAGACAGAGCATTTACACCTCCGGCCGGGAGGATTCCTCCCAGAGTCCTCACGAAAGTGAGTCGGAGAGATTTCCAGACACTCTTCCTAAGAGATTTTTTTTCTCCTTTTAATCTCATATGCAAATAGGTCCAGGAAGGGAGGGGGGAAAGGGGGAGGAAACACAAGCATATCTGAAAATGACTTTTTGCCAACCTTACCGGAGTTGCAGGCAAGGCACCCCCAGAGTGAACAAGGACACATTTTTGGTAAGAATCTACCTGCTGCTGATAATGAATTTTCAATATTTCCATCCACGTGCAGGCATTAACCTTAGCTGGAGCTTTAGATTTATTTATTTATTTTTCTTCTATTCTTTCCTCACCAACAAACTCACAAATTATTGCAGTTTTTTAAAAATCTATTATTTTTACAGTAAGATCTTGCAGTATAAGTGAAAAGAGATGCATCCACAATGGTTTCAGCCCAGATGGTTTCTCTGGACAACAGTGATAAAGCTGTTAAGTGCCAAAGAAAAATCTTTAATCACTTTGTTTAATATAAGTTCTGAAAAGGATTTAAGCTGTTCTCATTTTGGTTCAAGAACAAATATTGTTCCAGGGTGTTTTTGGTGATCATTTCACAAACTCCGGACAATTTATGTATTGCCCATAGACACTTCCTTGACAGTGACTAATGGCTCAGATGTAATTTAGATACTCTGGAGTTGTACCCTGCAAGACTTTACACAAGAAATCAAGCCAAGAACACACACCAGGAAGATTTAACAAGACCAAACTTGATTCTAAGGACAGAGGCAATGGCTCTATATATCAGCAGCAAACATCCTGAACAAGTGTGTTCTGTGAGCAGTTTGCAAAAGTTATATTCCATACATCCAAAATTACACTTACACTCAAGATCTACTCTGACATTTTTCCTAATTTTTTTTTTACAAAGACTTCTTACACTATTTATATTTCCAGCATTTGTCCAATCTATATTTTCCATCCAGAAGCACCAGGTGGAAAAGGTTATCATACAACTCAAATACTTTTTTTTAAAACGATTTAACCTACTATGCGACATCTCAGTGCTACTAATGAGTGAGAGGATTATGGTACCACCACTTCCTCTGCTCCAAAAAATATAGATTCACTCTACCTTAGAGTCAATGTCCATAGAGTCTAACAAACCAAACTGCACCTTTAAACAACTCTGGTGCTGCATGTCAAATGCACTCCTGGACAGCATAATAGCAATAAGCTTTGAACTACAGAGCTACAAGGGGGACCCTATGGATCATCAAGTCCAACCCCTCTCAAGGAGGCCCAGTGGGGAACTGATCTCTCAACCTCAGGCGCTGCAGCTTAGAGTCCTCACCATTTAGCTCAAAGTAAACTTCAGGAGAAGGATTGCCCTGTTATCGCCAAGAAGTACGATTTAAGGCATTCCACGCTTATCCAATTCGGATGGATTTTCAAGAAAATTAACAACATAGGAGCACCCTGAAAGCCACTTCGGAAAACCTTTACACGCAGAAACACTCAGAGGGGAATCACCCACGTAGCCTGTGACCTCTCAAGTTTTTGATACACTGAAGACCAAAAGGAGTCTTTAACCTGTTGGACCTTCCCATTTCTACTGCACGCGAACACCCCTGTCTCTCGCCAAGAAGTCAGGGATGTCAATCCAGGTGGGACACCCATATCCCTTGGGATGGCCTGTGAAGCAGATGGGCCAAGAGAACAAGGCCAAGCCCAGCACTGGCTTCCCTGTTGGCCTCTCAACCCACATTAAACCCCGAGGTGCATCAGAATCACAGGACCAGCCCAACGTCTCACCAACATGGTGTGGAGGTTGGCCTGGATTCCTCTTCAGCCCACCTCCTCAATGCAGCGATGACCAGGTCCCACACTGAGCCCTCACACAATTCTGTTTAGCGTTATTAACAGCAGATGCCGAAATGCATGGCTTCTGCTACGAAGGCCATCTCACCACCATCCAAAATGTGAGTCACATCATCCTTCGGCTTCTTATTTCTAGGAACGGCCTCCTGCTCCAACAGGCTGCCTCAACCCTACCACCAAGACCAGCACCACCACACACATGCTCAAAAAAGACGTCCCCTTGTTTGGCGCTGTTACCTTTTAGCACTAGTGGAGAGCTTAGCAGTCGTTTTGCTGGAGAGTTTAGTATTTTTCTTCTGCTGGGTTGCAGAAGGTTTTCTTTCTTCTTGTTCCTCTGGCTCAGGTGCAGGTGGATCTCTCTGATCGGCATCTGAGCTACCACTGCTGGTACTTGGGCTTTCGTCATCTGACCTTTGTCTGTCACTGGACATCTTGGGAAACTTTTGTGAGGAGCAAAAGGGGGGGGGAAAAGAAGGACAAAGGAAATCAGTTCCCTCTCTGCAAAGCGCTCCTCATTCCATACCCTGAGCAAAATTACACGGCGACTTATGGCAAGTTTTGGATTTATTTATTTTTTTAAAAAATATGTATTACTATTTTCAAGAGAGCGGGGACAACTGCTGTCTCAAGTTTAGGTTCCAGGAAATATCTTCTCCTCATTTTTAAAATTATGTATTTCTCCCACAAACCCTATTCACATTTTATACACACACATCCGCTCCACGGTTCCTCAGACGGTACGTCAGTCCCTCGTCTACTTTGTTCGAAGGCATGAGGCAGATGCAGCAGCGCACCCGAGCCAGGAGCATTAATAACTTATGACACCTTGTAAATAGCAGACGCCCCCCCCAAAAAATGTAAGGTTTTTTGTTGTTGTTTTTTTAAAGTCAGGGAGACCCCCTAAATATTTAGACTCGAGCAGAAGGGGGTCAAAAGCTGCCGCCTTCCCCCCCAAAAATCCTCTTCCTTCTCCCCCCTTCTACAGGCGACGTAGGGCCGATAACAATACTTGAACTGCTCCATAATTTGGGGGGGGGG